CCACTCCGGCTCCGGCTCTACTGAAAAACCGCGTCTCTCTCTCTCTCTCTCTCTCTTTCTGGAGCTGCTGCTGAAAGACGCATCGTTTTTTTACTCTTAAATGTCCTTCTTCATTTCTCCAGCCTCGCTCCTGATTGGCTCTTTAGTTGCTACGATACTCCAAAACTGCTCTTAGAAACCTGGACTAAACCAGGTCTAAACCAGGACTAAACCAGGTCTAAACCAGGACTAAACCAGGTCTAATCCAGGACTAAACCTGGACTAAACAACGACTGAATCAGGACTAAAACAGGACTAAACCAGGACTAAAATGGGTGTAAATCAGGACTAAACCAGGACTTAACTAGTTTTAAACCAGGTCTAAACCAGGATTAAACCAGGACTAAACTGGGTCTAAACCAGGACTAAACCAGGTCTAAAATGGGTCTAAATCAGGACTAAACCAGGTCTAAACCAGGACTAAACCAGGACTTAACCGGGTCTAAACCAGGACTGAACCAGGACTGTACCAGGACTAAACCAGTTCTAGTCCAGGACTGAATCAGGACAAAACCAGAATTAAACCAGATTGGCTCTGATTGGCTGTTTAGTTGCTATGATGATAAAAAATTGCTCTTATAAGCGCTACCCTTGATGAGCTTCATTTGACTGGAGCTGATCTCTGTGGTGACGTCTTACTCTCCCTCAGTCCCTCAAACCAAACCAATCTGGAGCGACGACTGACACCCGACCAACAGCCACAACAATCCAACACGGCAGAAACACAGCGGACATTTGTGCTCGGATCACATCGTTTCCCCTTTTCTCCAGACACGGCGGGACATGGTGGGACATGGTGGGACACGGCGGGACATGGCGGGACATGGCGGGACATGGCGGGACATGGCGGGACATGGCGGGACATGGCGGGACACGGCGGGACATGGCGGGACATGGTGGTGCTCAGTGGTGCCAGGTGGGGGCGGGGCTGAGAGGGGCTCCTCACGTCCCGCCCGTAGAGGCCAGTGTCTGTGCTCGTCATGTAACAACCTGCATCTAACTCATCGATGCCGTTAGGCCAACCTGAAAATTCAAATGTCCTGACCATAGTTGATCCTAATGAGACCGATCCAGACACGACTTTGACCCAGAAGTCACATTTTTTAACAAATATGTACGAAAATGACAAAATAAGTCCAGAGACAGAGACACACTTCTATTTTAGAACAAGCTACCCAGAGAATCAAGAGAAAAAGTGATTTTGCTGTGTAGTGACCCTAAACCAACAAAAAAACCAACAAAAAAACGAATCACTCAAACCTTGACTAAACATGAAGAAATACAAGTAGCACCACATAATCTAATAAAATAATAAAATGGTCATAAATATATTACTGTTATAATGAATTAGGCCTGTAATGATAACAGATTTTCCTGGATGATTACTTTACCAAGAAGTAAATGTGATAAATGATAATATTGACATTTTGAGACCAATTTCAACTAATATAATGCACCCATTCAAATAAACTTGACTTTCTAAAGAACATTTAACACAGGAACTGAAAGACAACCAAAAACAACACACCTAAATAAAACAGACTTTCTAATGTAGTTTGGCTCACAGCAAGAACTTGTCAACAAAAATGCACATGAATAAACCACTGTTGAACCAAATACAACCAAAACATACAATAAAATAGATTATTAAATCTCTATAATAAAATTGTCCTTAAAAGTGATTTTAGTCATTGCTTCCATAGAATATTGTGTCTGTCTCTCTGCGGCTGCTGCTGTGAGCCTCATTTTGGTCTTGAAGTGTTTGTATTAACCTCTGACACAGAATCCTATTTTGCTGTTTTGTCTGTCAGAAAATATCTGTCGTGTGATACACACTGGTACACGAGAGCACACGCTGTAGTGCAGACACATCAAACTCAGGCCCGGGGGCCAACTTTGGCCACGATATAATTATATTTGGCCCGCAAGATCATATCAATGTATTGTCATATGTACAATGTCATATGTGTGGCTACAGATCGACTATAGAGACATGATTTATTTAAAATGTTGTTATTATTATTATTATTTTATATTCTGTTTGTTCTGGATTCAGTGTTTAATCCAGGGGTGCGCAATACGTCGATCCCGATCTACCAGTCGATCGCCAAGGTCGTGTGTGTAGATCGCCGTGTTTCGTCTCGGACTCGTGTTTGGACTCGGTCTTGTCTCTCACTCGAGGTCTGACACTCAACAAGTGTGATCATATTTCATTCCGGCCGCTGCTGTTGGTAATAAACTTGTAGCGGGTGCAGGAGCGTGTGGGGCGTCTCAGTGCAGCCTGTGCGCTCATTTGAAACCCGCGGAGACTCTACGGCGCATCACAAACACACACGCTCCCTATGCACGGCTCGTCTGCAACAGCGTGTGCCCTCGTGTACCAGCGTGCATCACAGGGCAGGTTCAACTTCCTAAACATCCTACCTGTCCATCTGCCTCACGTCAGCACGCCGCCCCTCGCCTTTTCACGCTCTCGCTCCTTCCTGCGTACAGCCAACACAAGCCCCTCCCACAGTGCGGCTGATTAGAAGAACAAGACCAAACGTGAAGCAAAAACCAGTCTAAATTTGTGTTCCAGTGTTGGCACAAAGCAGGTCTACAGCATAGAGCGGATCTACAGAACAGACCTACTGCCACATTTGGCTGAAGTTTGTCTAACAAAAGTGACAAATGCATCTGTGTTTGTCACGATGTGCGTTTGGTTTGGTAAACGTGCAGAGGCTGGTAAATATCACTGCAAAACCAGAAAAGAATGTAACTCCAGTTTGGAACTTTAAAAAACAGGTTTAAAAAATCTTCCTTCACTTTTTTCACAGTTTTGTGTAAAGTGCCAGAGGAAGTTCTCTTAAAGAAGAGGTTCTCAAACTGTGGGTGAGGGTCCAAAAAAGGGGCACAGAGTGTTTCAGTGCAGTTTGTTTGACTTTGTATTAGATAGATCATTTTGACTTGGTCATTTTGTAAGTAGCTCGTATGATGAAAAAGTGTGAACACCCCTGCTTTAAACAAAACTATTATTAAACATTTATTTGAATAAAAAAAGGTTTAACATTACATATCTCCAAAGAAGAGAAAACATGCAGATGTTATTGAATTTTTTCAATAAATACTTAGTTTGGTCCACAACTTAGTCACAGTTTTAAATTTTGGCCTCTGTGAAAGTCGGTAAAGTCGTGCGCTGGCTCGTGTGTTTGTGATGAGCCATGCAGTGTCCGCGGGCAGTGTCCGCGGGCAGTGTCCGCGGGCAGTGTCCGCGGGCAGTGTCCGCGGGCAGTGTCCGCGGGCAGTGTCCGCGGGCAGTGTCCGCGGGCAGTGTCCGCGGGCAGTGTCCGCGGGCAGTGTCCGCACTCTCCCGCACACCCATACAAGTTTATTGCTGGCAGCAGCGGCCGTTATGAAATATGATCACACTCAACAAGAGTCAAACCTCGAGTCCAAGACAAGATCAAGATCGTAAAAGGCGGGTCTCGAGGGCGTTCTCGAGTACTACGACACTACCATCTACCCACACTAGTTTGGTGATCGACGTATTGGACACTCCTGGCTTAGACAGAAAAAAGTCAATAAATAAACCAAGTAATTGTCCTGGTTGATGTTTTGTGTTCAGTGTGTGTGTATATTCTGGTGTGTCTTATTCCTTCAGTGTGTGTTGTGCTCTTGCTGTTTTATGTGTGTGTCCTGTCTGTGTGAACTGGACTTGTACTTCATGTGTGATGATGGTTTGCCCCATGTGTCTGTGTGTGTGTCTGTGTGTGTGTCTGTGTGTGTCTGTGTGCGTCTGTGTGTGTGTCTGTGTGTGTGTCTGTGTGTGTCTGTGTGCATCTGTGTGTGTGTCTGTGTGTCTGTGTCTGTGTGTGTGTCTGTGTGTGTGTGTGTCTGTGTGTGTTCTGTGTGCATGTCTGTGTGTGTGTCTGTGTGTGTGTCTGTGTGTGTGTCTGTGTGTGTGTGTGTCTGTGTGTGTGCGTCGTGTGTGTGTGTCTGTGTGTGTGTGTGTGTCTGTGTGTGTGTCTGTGTGTGTCTGTCTGTGTGTGTGTGTGTGTCTGTGTGTGTGTCTGTGTGTGTGTCTGTGTGTGTGTCTGTGTGTGTGTGTGTGTCTGTGTGTGTCTGTGTGTCTGTGTCTGTGTGTGTGTGTGTGTCTGTGTGTGTGTCTGTGTGTGTGTGTGTGTGTGTGTGTGTGTGTCTGTGTGTGTGTCTGTGTGTGTGTGTGTGTGTCTGTGTGTGTGTCTGTGTGTGTGTCTGTGTGTGTCTGTGTGTGTGTCTGTGTGTGTGTCTGTGTGTGTGTCTGTGTGTGTGTGTGTGTGTGTGTGTGTGTGTGTGTGTGTGCGTTTGTGCTCTGTGTTCTCCTCGGTTCTTGTTTGGTCCTTTGTCCTTGTCAGTCTCTCTGTTGTAGTTTCTATTTTGGATTTTTTGGCCTCCTGACGTTTCCACTCAGAGACATCAGGAGTCGAACCCACAACCTCGTGACGGACAGAGAGGAGGAGGAGGCAGCATAATGATGGTTCATTTGACCTTGAACCCGGTCAGAGGTCAAAACCAGAGCATTTCTCCTCAGCTCATTTATGAAAGTGTCACTCACATTATGCAAATATTATCCTTTGATATGCAAATGAGGTCTGACCCCATGACTAACACTGAGACAGGTGCCCCCCGTCAGGAGCAGACAGGTGCCCCAAGTCAAGAAGACAGGAGCAGACAGGAGCGTGAATATAAGACAAGAGCAGACAGGAGCAGACAGGAGCAAAGCCAGAGGAGCAGACAGGAGCAGACAGGAGCAAGGTCAGAGAAGGAGACAGGAGCAGAGCCACAGGAGTAAATAGGAGTTGACAGGAGCAGACAGGATCAAGGCCAGAGAAGACGAGCCAATTCTAAAGCTTAATCTTAAAGGCACATGGTGTAACTTTCATGGGGAGGGTCCACCACCCGCTTGTCTCTGTGATGACGTCGTTGCTTTGTCTGGAATATTC